AATTCCTTCTTTACACATCGAGAGTGGGCAGAATGAAGGCCGCCACATATACACTGCAAGCAATTAAAAACAAACCAGTTATAATCAGTGTATTTCTTCACTTGCTGAAGAGGTGCCAGTGTAATCTTCAATGATCTGTTGAGAGCTCAAACAGAGTTCATCGGGTCATAATACACATTTATAAACAGTAGTTAATGCCTTCTTTTTACCCCCTATATTTATCTCTTTTCTGTTGGTAGTTAGAATGATTTGAAAGTCACCCACAGGGTCAATAAACTTCTCTCTCCTCAAGAAAGACTGTTTTCTTTAGTGTCATTCATGTTCATTTAGTTCATTTAACAGAAAGCTCAGGACTATAGCCCACACACACACACACACACTCACACACACACACACACACACTCACAGTAGAGCTGCACGATTATGACAATAACCGTAAGTTGTTCTCTTTAAGCTGTATTCACAATTATTTATTGAATTAAGAGAAACTGATTTGAATTCGGTAGAAGTCTGTGGTATTTTAATCACCAATCATGAAAAAATATCTATTCATCTATCTTTATATCTATCTATCTATCTATACAATAATACAAATATATAAACTCCGTCTCTGCCACCTGCTCTGCTGCCATCGGTCGACCCCCTGGAGTCGTCAGCCCTTCCTCCACCATGGCTCCTCCCTCCGTCAGCTTCTCCGTGGGTCACCTGCATGGCTGCGGCCTGGCTCTTCCTGTTCCAAGTCCCTCCTGTTTCCTCCCTGGCTCCTTCCTCCTTCGTCTCCACCCTGGACTCTGTTTGCCGTCCTCCTCCCGGGTGTCCATCCTCCACCCGAACCTACTCCTCAGTTCCCCTCCGTCCCTCCCTTTGTTGTTCCTGCGGTGCGAGGACGCGCTTTCCCGGAGGGAGGCGACCTGTCACACCCCTAGACTGTTTGTGTGTGTGTTTTTCTCCCCATGTGCTCCACGTGACCCAGTTTCTGTCTCTAGTTAATTATGTAATTTGGTTCAGGTGTGTCTTGTTAATTGTCCTCGTCACCCCATGTATTTAAGCCCAAGTCTGTGCAGTCTACGGCTGTGTTTACACTTGGCATTAACATGCGATCAACGTGATCCGATCAAGCAGATCGGATCATCAGTCAATCAGAACACGACACGTTTACACTTGGCAACATCAACTGACTTTTCTATCTGGATAACCAATCGAATCTGTCTTTCCCGCGCAATATTTAAATAAGTCTGCAGAGAATGGCCCAGTGCAAAGTCAACCTGAAGTGGTGAGTTTTCTTTTGAAAAGCAATTTCAGTCGCGGGACATTTTACAAATCAAATGTAAGTGTAGGAGTTTCACTAGTCTCCACATAGGTGTTCTCTGTCTTTTTTTCTGACAGTTCGCGAGAGAGGGGGTGGCGTTTTGCGTGATGTCGACCTGCGAATGCAGAGACGATGGCTGGATTGTGTTTACATTACACTGAGATCCGATCACAATGCGTCCTCGACTACCTCTGGACCAGGACACACTGATCGGATAACATTCCGATCAGAAGTGCGTTTACACTTGTCTTTTCAATGTGTATGTGGACAACATCCGGATACAGGCCACCCCTTACGAAAAAGAAGTTTATTCAAGTGTGCTATTAGTACACTTCTTTTAAACAAAAAAATAGGAAAGTATACTTTTAGTCTACTTTTTATGTACTTCTCAGAAATGGGCTTTATGTACTTCTCAGAAATATACTTAAAATGACATTTAAGTATACTTGACTTATAGCCTACTTAGAAAAAGTCTAAATATATTTGAGCTATACTTGTGTTCCTAGAATCCGTGTTTTCATTGTTATACGATAGGGGGCGCTAGTACACATTTTCTGTACAGAATTTCCAAAAAACACAAGTGAAGTAGAAACTGAAACAACAGATGCTTCCATATGTAATCTAGCACGATCATCAGACATAAAACAGAATCAAAACTGTGTAAAGTTGATGTAATGTCGGTAATAATGACTTTGGGGTGTTGATCGACTCTATCTATGTTTTGATTATTGTTCTGAATCCAATTCATAGTCTTTTTTTCAGCTTTTTGTTCAAAATGTTGTTATTTATTTATTTTAATTTTTTTATGAAACACCCACATTCATGTTTTTAAAAAAGAAAGCATGAAGCTAGAATAGAAATATTTTAGTTTACAAGCAGATACCCTGTTCTTTCTTTTGGTGTTTTGTATGCTCATATATTCATATAACAAAATATATACAAATGAATACCTAAATAGGGACATAGAAGTATACTTAAAGTATGATGTAAAGTTCACTTAAAGAAAACTTACAAGTATACCTGCAGTATAAAACTACTAAACTAGTAGTTTACTAAGACTATACTTCAACATGTACTAAAAATGCTACTACAAGTATTTAATTAGAAAACTATCAGTATTCATATAAGTTCACTTTTAGTGTAGTTGCAGTACAAGCTAAAAATATTATTGTAAACTAGTTGTGTACTTAAAGTTTACTACTGTTATACTTAAAGTATACTTAAAAGTATACTTTTATATACTAGAAAGTGGGCCAATTTAGTCCCAAGGAGTATTGAAATAGTACATTTACAAGTATACTACTAGTACACTGATATTTGTATACTTGCTACATAAAGTATACTTAAAAATATACTTGAAATTTACTTAAGTATACTTAATAAAATAAACTTGAAGTACACTACTTTTTGGTAAGGGACATGTTAATGCCAAGTGTAAACGCAGCCTAAGCTGTTCCTTGTGTGGATTACATTAAAGATTGTTACTTTGATCCACGTCTCTGCGTCATTCCCTCTGACACAGTACCGTGACATATAGTAAGTACACGTAGTTAATTAATATTACTCAGTACTTAAATATATAATTACACTATAACAAGGACACCTTAAAATAAAGTGTAACCTGAATTAATACAATGCTTAATAAAACCAATTAGTTTTCTTACAGTGAGAATAACTACTGTTCTTATAATAGGCCTTGACGGAGCTAAACAACAAACCAAAGGTGCAATAAAAAAAAAAGTATGTTTAGGACTTTTGGGTTTCCATTCAGTATGTGGAAGGATACAATCTACATACTCTATATAGCCCTGCAAACATACCCCTCACAGCTCAGAAAAGGTTACTGACCTGAATTGTGTTCTCTGATTGAGTACCACAATAAAAAAGCTAATGGAGGGCAGCTGCTGTCAAATAATTAACTAAAACACAAACAGTATGGCCAGAGGGTGGAGAGGATGAACTGATAAACCTGGTGTAACCTAATGGAAATATAGGAAACATTAAACATTTATGTTTTTAAAAATATAATTGATGATGTGCTCCTATTGCCAGAAACACGTCATATAGTGGAAGAATTGTTGAATAAAAACAAATCTTGCTTACCATTGTTATCATGCCGTTATATTACCATCATACTGTTATCATACTATTTCTATATCAACACTGAAGATAAATTTACACTTAAAATACAGCAAAGAACTGTATATAAAACTGAATATATTTATTTATGTATTTGTTTGCCAGCCATTCGTATAAAAAAAGATTCCTGTGAATAACAGCAATTCACCGAAAAGATGCTATGATAACTTTATTTTGCAGATTTTATTACAGTAAAAATAAAAATTAAGTAAATTCAGTCTAATATGACTGTTTTCTTCCACAGCAGTATGTTACTGACTGCATGTATCAAGCTGAATTGAGGAAAATATTTAGAATTATTCATATAAACTACGAAAAAATATTTAACACCAGTGGACATCACACATTCACTATCAAAATTCAAAATAGTTTTAAGCAGAACATCATTTTTGCCATGCATCTACAGTTTACCTTTTTACTCAAAAAAAAACAAAAACAATTATTCACAAATAAATATGGTCCCACCCACCTCCTGTCAATCAATCGTCCTGCCATCTACAAGAGGCAGCCTTGTAAAAATCAATTACAATTCAAAATCAATAATCAATTATCAAAATGACAGTGAGAATTTGGTATTAAAACCATAGTTTTAAACATTTTGTGTGTTGTATTGCTATATGTCGTGATAGATAAGTCAAATTAAATTTGTGTCGTAGTTTGTGTTAGGTCTGTGGAGAAGGATTGGAATGAAGAAAGGAATCCTGTCCTGGTGAGCAGCTCTGTCCTGCCACACCTACTGATGGTTTTAGCTTAATTAATAACGCAAAACCTGTCATATAATGAGAGAAGGTTATATATTTTACTCATAGGATTTGCCTAGAGAAATTGAGTTATGTTTTGTTGGGAAATGTGCTTGCTATGACAGATTTCACTGGTTGTTAAATACAGTTAATATACTGTTCCGGAGAATCAACAGCTAATAACTACATTTTCTGTAACCATAAAATGACTATAACACTGAGAAATGATGCCGAGAAGCTGATATTACACAGATCTGCAAATGTTAACGTCTGGTATGACTTGTTTTTTTAAGAGACTCCGGAGAAGACCTACCTGGAGAAGAGTCACCATTCTGGATGTGGTTGTGGTAGGAGAGCTTGTCAGCTTTGCCAAGCACACACACATTGAGATTTTATGATGCATAGATCATCAAAGATTTCAGTCTATCCTTGTCAGGACACTTGATCCCTACAACGTACAGAATACCTGGACCAAACACACACACACACACACACTCTTTCATAGATTCTTATACTGTACAAACTGTATATTAACCGTAAACACAACCCTCACAGAAAACATTCTGAATTTTCTAAAAACATAATTTAGCATGATTTATAAGCTGTTTTCCTCATGGGGACTAAAATTGTCTCCATAAAATCAAACATTTCAGGTATTACTATCACTTTGGGGACATTTTAAACCACTCGAACCACACACTCACACACACACATTTTTATATTAGTAAAGTGAACAGGCTTTTAAACTCAACTTTTTAAAACTATTTAATAATAATTAAACATTTAATTAGAGTTTTATTTACACACACACACACACACACACACACACACACAGAGACCTTTTATATAGACCTAGCTCTGATTACAAGAGGAGTTAAACAAATCCTAACATCCTAAATATCAATCACACTGGAAATACGATGTCAAACTATTAATGGGGAACAAGTCATAAGTACAGGCTATGTTCAAAATGGAATAGCGGTGTATTATACTGTGCTGTTTATACTGTTTACTGCCTAGTTTGCAAAAATCATCGAAAATAAAAGTCCAATTTTATGTGTAATTCACAATTTGGCATTTTGATCAAATAATTAGTCAGGAAAGCGAGAGCTGATGCTTGTTCGTTCGTCACACTGAAAATGGAAGGTCAAGCTGAGCGCATTGCATTGTGGGATACAGAATTCCACGCTTTATGTATACTGCACATTTTGGCAATGTAGTAGGCCATCCAGGTATCCTATACATACAGAATATGCATACTATATACTCCAGCAGTAAGAAAAGTGTGCTACTTTAAACATATAGCCACACATATACTTTTCTTTGAGGCTCTCTGCAATAAGCAAATCCCAAGGTCAAATGTGGCATTGGGGAGACTCTAGAAGTTCATTGAAAGGATGGGGGTGAACGGTCAGGAAACGGAGCGGGTCAGTGAACAACGTCACTTCCCCTGCAGGGCTGAAGTTGTTGTTAATGGGGTGACAAGAGGTGAAGGTCTGACTGTAGCTCAAGCCGTATGCACGCTAGTACGACACTTTTGGGTCAAACAGATCCCAGCAAATAAGACATCTTCATCATGATCTATTGGTTTTGTAATGAAACAGTAACACTGGCAATAAATAAACACTAATGATAAAACAACAACAATAATACTTGTACAATACAGTGAAGATTGCATAATCAGAAATGACTATTTTTGGCACAAAAGAAGAACGCTATGATTGTGTCAGCCTTTCAAACAGTGGATGCTCCTTCATGCATGAATGCGATTGTCCCTCACAGTGAAAAATGGGTGCATGGAGTACAGTCTGACCGTACGCCAACTTCTCTAAGTACTCCAGCTGTGCCTAGTGCTCTAACAATCCCTTGCTTTTGGTGTCCTGACCCTGGGATACTAAGATAAAGAATCAGGTGTATTTCACCATTAATAGAAAATACTCATTTTGATGGGAGCTCAATTTAAAAATGCAGTAAAAAGCGAATGATACAGTGCAGGATGCATTTGAAAATGCATCAGATACAGTAATAACACATGCCAGAATTCTTTTTCATGTCCTTCTAGTATTATATACCAGTATTTAAGGTGAATCTCACAAATTAGGCCAAGAACAAAAAATCATTGTGTCCAGGCAGACCTTCTGATTTTCATTACTGTATCATGGTACTGAGAATGACATTGTGTTTAATGTCACTATGCGTCGGTTCAAATAGTCCTAAAATCAGACTTTGTGATTTCTTCCTGATTTTATGAAATATGACCTTGACATTTCTTTATGAGGATCACCATTTTACTCTCCTTTTTTGTACACTAATTTAAAAAACTGATTAAATTTAGCCACTGGATGTCAAATTTATGGAACCATTTTAAGGAGTCAATATTTGTTTCCCTTTGTTTTAACATTAAAGTGTTTTGAGTCTGCTAACATAAGCAACCAAAAACAAAAATGAAGTAAGACATTAGAGGAACAAATGCCCAAAGTGCAGCCAATAAAAGGATGGAGCCCTGTGTAACCCCTCTCCCTGAAAGAGAAAGCAGGGCAGGGACGACTCCGCTCTCACTGTATCAGCAGGCCGTGTGCAGTGCAATGCATACATCAGCAGTCCACCCTCTCACAGAAATCAACTACTGTATCACCCACTTATACAAAAATAAATCAATTAGAACATGGTAAGATAAGCATTACACTTATATAAAATAGCTTCGAATATTTACATATAGACAACAACAAAGAAAACACCAGCAACCTGTCCTGTACAATCTACACCTGAATAAAAAGACATGTTAAGAGGTACTGAAGTGTATGGCTTGAAAGGAAATACTTCCCTATATATACATAAATGAACTTAATATATATTTAGATCTATATGTACTTAAATATCCCTGGAATCATGAAAGTGACGTGCGGAGAGCTCCCCACACCGCCACTGCCTACAACATGGCTCAAGCCTTCATAAACATCCGCCATGTTCTCCAAACCAAGAGTTTTGCTTTGGTGATCTAAGATCAGGTAACAGTTCATAAATTAGATCCACAATATGCCCATTAGAAAACCTCGGAAGAGAATTAGGACCATGGACAAACTGGATCTACTGTACTGTAAGGTATCGCTAGGAGGAGCATGCACATATCTCCCCGGAGTAGACAGAGTTTATGGGTATGAGTGTGGTAGTCTACTTCCTGGTCCTCTGTCGGAAAGTCCAGCCTCTTATTTGCAGTGCAACATCTCTGACTTGGACCAAAGACAACTCAGTAGTATACGCAGGCATGCAAGTCCAGTGCTAACAGAGTATGGACATCCCGTCTGCAGTGAGCAGCTGGCCACTGGTGGGGTCGTAAGTGCCGGCCAGATAGTACAGGTCATGATAGCTCCCATCAGACTTCCTGTTGCGGGTCAATCGCTCGTATTCCTCACGTGTGACCACCTGACACTTATGAGAGATTGTCTGGACGTCGTTTTCATCCTCATGGCATGACTGGTACAGAGCATGCTAAAAAACCAATGAAAAGTTATCTTTTAAATTTCCTAAAACATCTCCCGCGATCTGCTAGCATTGTCACAATATTAACATTTCAGTAGTGACTATAAAAACCAACACCAGGCTTGGCATAAGAACACAGAATAACACACCTAACTTTAATTAGTTACCACCTGGTAACTTATAGTAAGTTATAGTACCACTATGCTAATGATTATTAATTACATTTCATGACTGTATTGAAGGTTATGAAACAATGACAGCATGAATCCAATTCTACCAATACCATTTAATTTTCTCTGCTGTTTATTGAGTACAACTTAGTCAGTAACTCAGCTTATAGCATAACCATCTAAAAGTCCACTGTGACTGACAGGCCTCCATATATTTGGATACTTACTTCCTTGCCATCACGATGTCTCTTGCCTAGCTTGGTCTCTTCAGGGTGGTAGAACCACTGGACCTTCACGACCATGCTGCTCTGCCATGACTCCCAGAAACTCTCAATGCGGCCGATTAACGGCAAAAGAGGCTGCCCAGTCGAAAGGAACACAGCACAGTCTCCTACCCGCACCATGTCCTTGCCACGCACTATGGCCTTGTAGAAAAGCTTCCGGGCCTTTCCCTTAAGTCCACGGCGCTAATGTGATAAAGACAGCTTCAGATTTTTTTGCAGATGTTTGTATACAATTATTTTTGTATTTGTTTAAAGGTGAAGTTTAGGTGAAAAGATAATGGTGTTTCCAATCAGGCCCATCTGCTATTGTTTGCACTGTAATTAACTACCCACTAAAAAACGTATTAAATGTAGTCACTGGTTAGAAACTCACACCATTGGTTGGGATGCACTATATTGACACAGGTAATTATAAAGGTTAATACTAAACCACAAGCCTCTATTCCTGTACTCAGAATGTAAAAAATGGTATTGCTACATTCCTAGTTGAACCACAATAGGATAACATAACAGGATCACTCAGCGAAATGCTTTAAAAGCCCCTCAGAGTTAACATGTTTAAACTCTTTGGGAAGACTTGTAGTTGCTGCTGCACATTAAACTGGATTCAATCAGATTACCAATTACTAAATGAATGTACAAAGCAGTTATCTTTTCAAAAATGACTCACTTGCGTGGGGTTTCCTGACCACCTCCACAGCTGTCTAGATGGCAGGGTGGTTGACACTCTGGGTTTGGTCTGGTCTGCTAGAAGCCGTTGCCTCTTAACCAGATCTTTAGGGGTTTTGGAGAATGAACTGGGATACTCTTTCCTCTTCTGTGGCTTGCTGTTAGTACTGTGGTTGCCATGCCCACCTTTGGCACTGGACACTGCCACAGCTTTGGCCACAAAGGAGTGCCGTGGGGGTCCCACAGGGGGTTCAGGGGTCTGGAGCAAAGAATGGTGGGGGGTCAAGCAGCTTTCCTCATCCTCCGAGCTGTAAGATGAGTCATTTTCAGAAGAGCACAGACTGGAACTCGAGAGAGAGCCTGAGCTGGAAGAGCTGGAAGAACCTGAGGAAGACGAGGAGACCGAGATGCGTGAGAGAAAACGGCCAGCTGTTCTCAAACCTCCAGAGGCAGGAGCAAGTGCAGCACGCCCTGTCCTCCTTTCCACTTCTTCCTCTTCCTCATCCATGTCTGAGTAAGAGCTGTGGCAGTCCATGTGGCAGCCAAGGTTCAAGTCTCCATACTCACTCATGTGCAATGATGGTGAGGGCTTCCTCTGGACTGCTTTCCCTTTCAGTAAGAGCTCTGCTCGTGAGCCGTCTCCTTTCCTGTTTTCCTTGACTAGCAGAACTGGGTGTGAGTAAGCCTCTGCCCTGGGCAAACCACCCACCCCATTGGAGCCAAATCCTGAGGCTCCCAGCAACAGGAGAGCCTTACTGTTTTTAGTCTTTGGAGATGTTACTCCTTCATGGTCCAATTTGATTAGAAATTCGGCTTTCTTGCCCCGAGGTTGTGCTGGCTCCTCAATCCTCTTCTTTTGACCATAAGAACTGTTCTTGCCCTCCAGTGAAATCCCAGATGTCTGGCTGCCAAAGGATGAATAACCGTTAGCTATGCTGCTGAAGGAGTCGACCTCAAAGGAGCTACTGCTAAAGAGGCCTTTGGTTGGTGTCGTCATGGAGACTGAAGGTCGAGAAGATGTTTCCGCCACCCTGCCTTTCAAGGCCTTCTTCGAGGCTGAGCCACTGAGCTGGAAAAAGTTAACAGGCATTCTCTTCCTGGGTGCAGCCACTGATGGCCATGCCACAGCAGGTGCTGAGCTCTTGGCTACACTGTCTGAGAGAGACTTCTTTAGCCCTGAACCTTTAGGCCTCCCTTTAAAGAAAAGTTAAACATTTGCAATAAACTTTAGCATGATCAGCATTCATAGACATCATTTTTGGGATCATAGGCACATTTGGAAAGCTGTCTAGATAGGCAGCCTACTGGATTTTGAGACAAAGAGTAAAATATGTTCTCTGGTGGTTTACTGTAGAAAGTCTTACCTGGTCTTCTGACAAGCTTCTCCTGAGCTTTGAATCTGTCTGTTCTTGCTGTCCTTTCACTCAGAGTCTTGTTTTCTTGCTTGGAAATTTTTTTGTCAAGCTGCCCCTCAGAGATGAGTCCAGGATCAACACCTGAAAGGCCAGATGTGGTGTAATTTTTTTTGTAATCGACCTTTACAATACATTTCAAATATATGTGAAATAAGAATCAATGATAGAAGCTCAGTTCCAAGTTCTAGTGAGCTACCAACCTAGACAGCATTTTATGGCACAATATGTGACAAAAGGCAGCTTCTCAGATACCTAGTTACGCTAAAATTGTGTTTATCATTTCCAGATAAGGCAATCCCATTGCCACAAGCAAAAATTCACTCCAGACTGAATTGAATCTAAAGAAATGTCAGTATAGACTTCACCCCATATTTGTGTACTTTGTATTTTTGTGTTTAGTAGAATATTGCTTTGTTAGCTAAGCATGTACTAATGAAAAACTAAATTAAATGTTAGTCAAATCTCAAATGATATGAGGAGTTGACTGTTTGACTCTGCTGATGAAGCTATTCAAAATGCCTTTTGAAGTCCATCACCCAAATCAAGATATTCTACGTTTGTCTTCACTGCAGGGTAAGATGCTGCCTGTATGGACAGCAGACATAGGTAGCTCACTAGATTTTAGAACAGAGCTAATCAGAACGTCAAGTGAGGTAGAACTATACAAAGTTGGGACCTACATTGGATTTGGTAACCTGGTGGAAGAAAGCGAATATTGGAGAGAGAGATCCACCCTCTATCTCCATCATCAAACTCCACCATAACCCCACCAGGTTTAGATTCATCGCCTCCTAGAAGATCACCAGAACTAGTTAATTTAATTGAAATGCTTTACAGTAGTTCTTTAACGCTGGAATTGATACGTGATATTTTGGAAGAAAAATTATTATCTGATTCTATGGAAAGAGAAAATTATGTCTATGCCTCACCCCTTCGCACATATCCCGGGTAAAGACAACGTGAGCGCTCACTCCAGTAAGCACACACTCTAGTCCCTTCTTTTAGCACAGCCTCAGTGTCAGGGCGTACATCCAGTACCTAACACACACAGGAACAAACTTCTGTCAGGCAATGCCAGTGAAAGTGGTTTTGGACTCCCAGGATGATAAATGACACACACAGAAGTCAATCAGTAAGGCTCTTATGAAAGCAGCACTTATCTCATGCCAGCATGTTAGGGCTGAAAGCCACGGAAGCGGAGGTGCGGTAAACACTAACTTGCTGAGTAATAATGAGGAGTGTGTGAATGGAGCAACTGTGATTGCAGGTTTGCAGCGTTTCTCTGTCTAACAGAGCGCCCAGATCCCCCCATTCAGCTCGAACCCCTTTCAGGTTTCTTTAATTTACTGTTGCTATGGTAACAGGCGCTCTCTGACTGATGGGATGTGAAACTGGAAGGGTGTGCGTGTAGATTGGTGTCAAAGGTACATGGTGGAATGGAACGCTCTGGAAAGTGGAAGTTCAGTGTAATTAGAGACAGCTGCTGTAGACCGTTTACACAATGAAACAGCTGAATAACAAGTGTGTGTGTGTGTGTGTGTGTGTGAGAGAGAGAGAGAGAGAGAGAGAGAGAGAGAGAGAGAGAGAGAGAGAGAAAGACCCAACCACAAAAAAAAAAATATTATATATTTTTTTTAAAGTTAAGGGACAAACAATTTAGAATGACCACCTTTGCACTGACCACCTTTTTCGATGGATAGCACAGATTTGTTGCTAAATACAGATTTGTAATTACTATTTAAATGCTCGATTTGGGTATTGGGTATTCAATTGTATTGTATAAGCATATACTGTATTTTTAGCAAAATCTTCGCTGTTGTATAAGTGAATATACAGTACAGACTGATTGCTAAAAGACTTTAAGAGTAAGACAAATTCAACAAGTACACTTTAAGAACACTGTACTGACCAATCAGCATTCAGGAAGGTAACTATCCATTGGTCACTAAAAAATACAAAAGTATAATACATACTGTAGAGTAAATGAAGACATGTACTAAGTCACTGTTTTATGTCAGTGATCCTTCTGCAGAATGTTAAATGTGGAAAACAAGTGAGTCAACACCACTGATCTCTCCCAACACAAACACACAAAGGAAACAGGTTACAAGCAAAACTGAACGGGCGCCAATAATGCACTGTGGTTTACACTGTGTAATTGCAGTGCATTGACTTAAATTAACTGTAATGTTATTATAACCTGTATAACTAACATTGAGGGAGGATATCTCTCCTAGTGGGTGTGCACAGAAGATGCATCCTTTGTGTTCAGAAACACCTTGATAAAGCGAAGCTAAATGAGACAGGTCAGCTTTTGGGACACTTTAGTCTTATTGCCAGCTATCCATAAAATTGGCTATGACTGTTTTCAAGCAGGATTGTCTGGTTAGGAAAAGTCATATGGGTTTGGAACAATGGTGAGTTAATGATGAACATTTTTAATCCAATGCTCATGCTCCAAAATGCTGAAGATACTGTAACATATCTACTATCAGTTGTTAACATGTGTACATGGATGAAAAGTTATAAAATAGGCCATTTGAATTGCACAAACAAGTCCTGAGTGTACAGTCACTTATATTGGTGGCTGTTGAGGGAAATATTGATTTGCCCTGCTGGCACATTATAGAGGTTTGCTGTAGGATTTCAAACAATGTGAAGGTGCTGAAAGGGCCCAGTGCTCACAGAATAAAGACGTGCTGTGTGCAGGGCACTAGAGGAAGGTAGATGTGATTGTGGTTTGGCTGCTAATTAGTGATAGATGCTCCTCACCAATTTTAACAGGATGCTCTTTCTATGAACAGGGTAAAAAAAATGAATAAAAATGAACAAATGGACAGTAAAAGTACACCAAAGTGTACCATGGATATAGGGATGTATTTATGGAAAATGTCAAGAAGAGAATGCATGTTAATGTTTGTAGATATATGACTCGTAGGTGAGAAGGTGTGAACAGGGGTAGAGCTTGAAGTGGTGTGAAGAAAAGGTGTGCTGGAAACAGGACTTTAGGAAATGGCATTGTGTATAGGGATCTCAGGAAAGAGGATATTGTTTTGTGCTGCTCTTTAATAGTAGAGGGGATTTTGGAGGATGTGGTGATGTGTGTGGGTCCTGAGAAGCCAAAGCTCAGAGCGTAGGCAGGTTTGTTTGCTGTAAGTGGGAAACTCACGGCTTCCTGCAAGAGTTGCTCCAGGGAGTAGATTCTGGGTCGGTTTCCTCTCTGCCCGTCGATAACAATACTGTAGCTGGAGAGAGAGAGCAGAAAGTACAAAGGAGTTATTTTCAGTGGTGTGTGTAATGCTTGGCCGTGCGTGTCAAACTCCTACGGAGGGCTCACTTTCATTGGCTGTGACTGATTCTCTTCAGCAACACTTTTACTGCCGAACAGAGGGCTTAGAGGAAGTGATGCAGGTTGACTTTTGCATCCAACTAAGGACTGTGGGAAACTAGTGGGTGATGATCACTGCTTATTTAGCTGTGGTAGTGAGCATAATCCCATTTGGGGTAACGTCAATCAACGTGTCTTGGTGCAAAACACAGCAACAGGAGTTTACGATAGGTGCAATACATCCCAAAAGCAGGCACACACAGAATGTGCACCTGTCATTCACAAACAGTGTTGTTGTCGTTAATTAAAACTAAAACTTCTGGTAGACAGTTTTGAGATAAAGGAACTAAAATTTTAAATATTGCTACTTAAATGTAAATAATAGTCAAAAAACGTCAAACTAAATGGAAACAGGAAATTAAATGTTGAAGTAGGACTGGGTAAAAAAATATCGATATCTCGATATCGACTCTCATTTTTACGGAATGATATCGATTCTTAAATCCCAAGAATCGAATAGTCTAGCCTGTTTTCAGTTAATGGACTGAACGTTGAAGTGCACTTCCCATCCAATATATCGCAATAAAGATTGTGCTTTGGTACTTTTAATATGAAACAATGTCTCAGATTTAAAATTATGTCCATTGTATTGCAGTATTTAAACAATAAATGCCGTTTTGGCAGTTTAATGTGGAGTGACAGATCGCTGTAGCGCCTCAGTTCAACAGACGCGGCAGCGCGTAAAGCACGTGAACTGATCATCTCCTCCATATTAATACCAGTTTCAGCACAAAATAAACATGACTAAACATCCGAAGGTAAGTTAAAAGAAAGAGTACAACTTTACAATCCGTATCCTGTCTCATGTAATCGCTCAATTAGTGTTTCAGCCGTGCAAAGACGTCTAAATAACGGCTTGTAAACAATATGTCACGTAACGTCACATTTACCTCAACATTCGGTGACCATAAACTCATTAGTCAGATAGAAAAATAAACTGTAGAGATGTAGATGAGCTAATTAATCAAACCATGGAAACAAACAAGGCAGGAGAAAGGAAACACAGAAAACCAAACCAAAATAGATATGCCATATAGCATATTCATTATAAATTGTACTGTTCTTCAATGTTTAATTTATGTTTGAATAAATCCATCAAGTTTTTATGACAGCCACCATTATGTTTATATTTAAAAAAAATTGGAGTAGAAATATTATTATTTAATTATGTAATAACTTTATTATTTTAAAAACTTAATAAGTGTAATTTTAACAAATCAGTCAATTTTAACCTTCAATATTATAGTAATGTAGTACCAAATGACTCTCATGTATATTTTACAGCATTATTTGAGAGATTTCCTTCAAAAAATTTGGCATGTACTGTACCTGATATACAGTATATCCAAAATAATCTATATTGAATCGAATCAAATCAAATTGGTAATCGAATCGAATCGCAAGCTTGTGAGCGAGAATCGAATCGAATCATGAAATTTGTGTCAAAACCCAGCACTATGTTGAAGTATTAAAATTTGCATTATATCAAATTTGTAAGCATTAAAATTACTAAAGGAAATCAAAATAAAACAAAAACAAAAAAAATAAATGAAAACTATTTAGAAATATATATATATATATATATATATATATATATATATATATAAAAA